GTTACGCAATCACATGGTTTCCTAGGCTGGGAACGACAAAGTTAACAGAAAGGGCATCACATTCATTGTCTATAAAGAACATTCCAAGATCTATCTTGAAGTACAATGCTGCCTGTGATTGGATAATATCTATTCACCTACAAAGAAGTCCTGGTAATGTAAGCACTATTTAAATTTACTCAAAAGAATTAAATTCTACCAACATGCTCAGTCTGAAATTGATTAAGCATTAAACCAAGGCTCTGATCCTCCTCGTGCAACAGGCAGCTGCATCTTCCCATGCAGTCACAGCCACATCCCGGAGAAATGATGGTGAAGGTCAGAGTCAACGGATTTGGCCGCATTGGGCACCTGGTCACCACGGTGGCTTTCAACTCTGGAAAAATGGACATTGTTGCCATCAGTGATGCCTTCATTGACCTGAACTACATGGTCTACATGTTCCAGTATGATTCCACCCACGGCAAGTTCAATGGCACCGTCAAGGGTGAGAACAGGAAGGTTATCATCAATGGAAGTCCATCTCCATCTTCTGGGAGCGAGAGCCCGCCCACATCCGGTGGGGTGAGGCTGGTGCCGAGTATGTCGTATAGTCCACCGGTGTTTTCACAACCAGAGAGCAGGCTGGGGCTCACTTGAAAGGTGGTGCCAATAGGGTGATCATCTCTGCCTCTCCTGCCAATGCTCCATGTTTATGATGGGCATATGATGGGAGAAGTATGACAACTCCCTCAAGATTGTCAGCAATGCCTCCTGCACCACCAACTGCTTAGATGCCCACCCAGCCAAGGTCATCCATGACAACTTTGCCATCGTGGAGGGACTCATGACCACAGTCCACGCCATCTCTGACACCCAGAAGACCGCGGGTGGCCCCTTTGAGGAACTCCGGCTTGGTGGCCGTGGGACTGCCCAGGACATCATCCCTGCACCTGCGGGCACAGCCAAGGCTGTGGGCAAGGTTATTCTGGAATTGAATGGGAAGCTCTCTGGCATGTCCTTCCATGTCCCTACCCCCAATGTACCTGTCATGGATCTCACCTGCCATCTGGAAAACTCTGCTAAGTACAATAAAATCAAGAAAGTGGTGATGCTGGCTTCTTATGGTCCCCTAAAGGGCATCCTGGGCTACACTGAGGACCAGGTTGTATCCTGTAAATTCAACAGTGGGGCTGGCGTTGCCCTCAATGACCCCTGGCATGACAATGAATTTGGCTACAGCAACAGTGATGGGACTTGATGGTCCACATGACCTCCAAGAGGTAAGAGCCACCAGGCCCAGCAATGGCACTAGAGGAAGAGAGAGGCCCTCAGCTGCTGGGGAGTCTTTGCCCCAACTCGGTCCCCCAACACACTAGGAATGTCCCCTCATCAAGAGCTTCTATCCAGACCACTTGAGGAAGGGGAGGGCTTAGAGAGCCCAACCTTATCGTGTACCATCAATAAAGTACACTGTACCCAGCCCCCCAAAAAAATAATGGAATCAAGATGTATTGATAATTTTTGTCAATTAGCATGAAAAAGTTAAAAACAAAGAGAAAGGATCAATAGTTGGAATATATGGTCTTGGTGTCAGATACAAAGTTGGAGACTGCAGGATAGAATCTTGCAAGACTAATGACTTCTTCATTACAAATAACACCTTTACAACAACACAAACAGTGCTTTTGCACATGGACCTAGCCAGATGGCATCCCGAGAAATAAAATGGACTATATCTGTGGGAAGAGAAGGTGAGGAATCTCACTATCACCAGCCAAAATAAGGCCAGGGGCTCATCTGTAAATTCAGACTGAAACTGAAGCAAATTAAAACAAGTCATAAGAGCCAAAAGACAACCTCGAGTACGTATATTCCACTTAAGTTTAGAGAACATCTCAAGAGCAGATTTGACACATTGAACACTCAGGACAGAAGACCTAATAGGCAATGGGAAGACATCGAGAACATCAGACAGAAACAAAGGAAATCATCAATAAAAAGATAAGAAAGAAAAGACCAAAGTGGATATCAGAAGAGACCTGGAAACATATACTTGAACAATGAAAAGCTAAAGCGAGCAGAAGTGCTGACGTAAAAGAGCTGTAGAGAAAATATCAAAGGGCAGCTAGAGAAAACCAAGTATTATAAAGAAATGTATAAAATCTGGAGTTAGAAAACCAAAAAGGAAGATTATCTTCAATATACCTCAATATGAAAGAAATAATGAATATATTCAATCCTCAAGTTACAATATTGAAAGATCCCACTGACAAAATATTGAGCAATGCAGGACACATCAAAAGACGATAGAAGGAATACACAGAGTCACTGTGCCAAAAAGAGTTGTTGAATGTTCAGCTGTTTCAAGAGGTAACATATGGTCTAGAACTTACCGTATTTAATGAAGAAGTCTCGGCTAAACTGAAGGCATTAGCCAAAAACGAGGCTACAGGAAGTGAGGGAAAACCAATTGTAGTGTTTCAACAAGTTGATGCAGCATTGACAACATTTACTTATCGATGCTAAGAAATGTGGAAGACAGATAACTGGCTAACCAACTGGAAGAAATCCCTATTTCCAAAGAAAGATGGTCCAACAGAGTGTGGAAATTAGGGAGCAATGTCATAAATATACCAGAAAAGTGAAAATTTGCTGCAGATAATTTAAAAACAGCTGTAGTAGTGCATCAACAGGGAGCTGCCAGAAATTCAAGCCAAATGTGGCACATTAGATGGATTCTGGCTAAAATCAGAGCATTCCAGAAATACATTTATGTGTACCTTATTGACTATGCAGAGGCATTTGACTATGTGGATCATAGCAAACAATGAATAATTTTAAGAAGAATGGAAATTCCAGAACATGGCTTTGTGCCTAGATCAAGAAGCAGGCATTCGCATAGAACAAGGGAATATTGTGTGATTTAAAATCAGGAGCTGTGTGTGTGTCAAGTTATACCCTTATACCATACTGACTCAATTTCTATGTTGAATGAATAACAGAAACACTGGATTATATGAAGAACACAGCATCGTGATTAGAGGAAGACTCGTTAACAACCTGCAATCTGTAAATGACACAAGCTTGCTTGCTGAACGTCAAGAAGACTTGATGCGCTTGCTGAGGGAAACCAAAGTGTGGATTATCACTCAGTGTATAGAAAACCCAAGTCCTCACAACTGGGCCAATTGACAACATCATGACAGACAGAAAAAAGGTTAAAGTTGCCAAGGATTTCATGGGAGTTGGATCCACAAGCAATGTTAATGGAAGGAGCAGTCCAGATCTCAAACAACATAGTCATTGGACACACCAGCTACCTAAGAGCTTTTTAAAGTGTTAAACAGCAACGATGTCACTTTGAAGACTAAGGTAGGCCTGACCCCAGCCATGATGGTTTCAGTTGCCTCGGATGCGTGTGAAAGTCGGACATTGAATGAGGAAGACTGAAGAATTGATGTGCTTGGATGATGGCATGGCGTTGGTGAAGACATTGACAGTACCGCGCACTGAAAGAGAACAAGCGCATCTGTCTAGAAACAAGTACAGCCAGAATGCTCCTCAGAAGTCAGGGTGGTGAGTTTTTGGCTCACATACTTGGGCCGTTTTATCAGAAGAAACCAGGCCCTGGAAGAGGACGTCATGGGGTAAAAGTAGAAGACCTGATGAAATGGACTGACGTGAACAGCTATGGGCTCGTACATGACAATTGTGAGGATGGTGCAGCGGCAGGCCGTGTTTAGTCTTGTTGTCAACAGTGTCACCGTGAGTCCGAATCAACTTCATGGCACCTGAAAACAACAACCTTTCCTTATGGAATGGACTTGGCACCTTTGTCAAAAATCAAGTGACCAAAAGTGTATAGGTTTATTTCTGGACCCTCAACCCTACTCCATTGGTCTCTCTGTGTATTGCTATATCAATAGCGACCTTTTTTGGTTCCTGTAGCTCTTTGTGTTTCGAAATCGGAAAGTAGGACTCCTAATTTGCTGTTCTCTTTCAAGATGGCTACTTGGGGTCCCTTGTAATCCCATAGGAGTTTAGACATTGGTTTTTCTATTTCTGCAGAGATGGTTGTTAGAATTTTGACAAGGTTTGCTTTGAATCTACAGCTTGCTTTCGGCAATAGTGACACCTTAATTACAGTGTTTCTAGTTTGCAAACATGTGATGTCTTTCTACTTATACATGCCGTGGGGTGTGTGTGTGTGTGTGTGTGTGTGTGTTGTGCAATGTTTTGTTTTGATTCAAGGGTTTTAAATTTTATTTTTTTAACTTTTTCTATAGTCCGCTTAATTTCAATCAGGGTGTTTTGCATGTCCCTGTTGTTGGGGTCACCCTCTGACCTCCTGTGGTTAATTTCTTATTTTATAGCACTGTGTTCTAAGCAAATGTTTTGTAATGTTTTGATGTTTTTAAATGTATTTAGGCTTGCTTTGTGAGCTCACATATACCATATTCTCTACAACATTCCATGTGTGCTGGGAAATAATGTATATTGCGCTATTGGGTAATGTGTTCTGTATATGTATATGAGATCAAATTGGTCGATTGCATTGTTTACTTCTTGTGGTAGTCACCTAATCTGGTGTCAGTTTAAGGATTAAGAGTGTAGGGGTGGAGTCTAGGCTGTCAATCTGGAGATAGCCAATGAGACTTCTGTGGGCATGGCCTTCTCCTGAGAATTCTGGGAAATCTGGTACTTTCTTCCTTGGAGGCAGGAGAGACTCTCTCTGCTCCCACACTGGGAGACAGAGCAGCTGACAAGACACATGGACCCACCCTGATGCAGAGACCCCTGCCAGCGCTGAGATGTTTCCAATGACACTGGATCCAAGGACTTTCTACCCACTGGCCTGTGATCTGTATTCGGTGTCATTGCATGTGTTTTGTGAGTCTGAAGAGGACTTTATAGATTGGTATTGGACATATGGGCTAATATTGGACCTATGGATGTGAACTGGACTGGGCTGGGATGTTTTCTCAATGTTCAGTTGCTCTTGTATAGAAATCTCTTTCTTATACACATATGTGTGTCCATGGATTTATTTCTCTGGTCTACCCAGACTAACATCTTCTCCTGCCTCTTTATTGAGTTTCTTTCTAGTTATTCTATCCTCTATTGAAAGTGGCACATTACATCTCCGGCGATCATTGTAAAGTTGTCTATTTCTCTCTTCGGTTTTGTTGGTTGACTTTTTGTACTTTAAGGTATATAGACGTAGGGCACATAGATATTTCTTATGGTTATGTCTTCTTGTCTATCATACGATGCCCTTCTTTATCTCAGGTGCTAGCTTCGCCTTATTGTCTATTTTATCAGAAATAAATGGTACCATCCCGCCCTTTTCTGATTGCCACTACCCTGAAGTTTTTATCCCTATCCTTTGATTTTTAGTCTGTTTTTCTTTTCTTTCTTTTTTCTGTCTTTGTGTCTAAGGTGTGTCTCCTGTAGACAGTAATTGAATGGGCCCTGTGGTCTTCTCCATTTCATTGCTATCCATCACTTGACTGGAGCACTGACATTTGGCATAAGTAGGGGTGACTCCGTGGCTGTAGCTTTGTTAGGTGTTTTCTTGTGGTTCTGATTTTTTGAACATAATTTTCTGTGCGAAGCCCACGTTGTGTGTGGGTTTTCTTTCCATTGTATTCATTGCTGCGGGTTTGGTGCTAGGTGCCCCCTAGTGGATTGCAATTCACAGAGACCCAATGCACAGCAGAGAGAGACACCTGGACCTGCGCCATCCTCACAGTGGTCCTTGTGTGTGACCTGCACCATCCTCACGCTGGTCCTTGTGTTGGAGGCTGTGATAGTTAGCCTGAGTGGAGCCATTTTGTATTAAACAACCTATAGGTGTAACACACTCTAGGCATGGCCACAAGCCTTATAACATTCTCAGAAAAACAGAGGCAGCCTCTTGTTCCAGGAACTAGCAACAGACTGCCCTGTACCTGGAAGTTTTGCCTCACCACCTAACCGCAAGATCTGCGTCTATTCCAGCTTGCGTGCACGGCTGCATAGCTCAATTGCTTATTTCACCCTATAAGAACCTAAGTCTATAAGCAGACAGGGCCAGTCAGCTCCCTTGTTTGGACGGCTGGTCCCTGCACAGGTACTCTTTAATTAAACTTTTATTCTTTAATCTCACATCTCAGTTGTTCTTGTCCGGTTCATGTACAACATTTTTGGAGGTCCCACTGAGATTTGTGACCAGGTTGTACATTAGCGGGACAAGTGAGACCCTGGGAACGGGTGTTC